TAGGGGGGGTTCTGAGGGGGGCGGGAAGTGGGAGGGGGTGGGGGTGCGGCTGGGGCAGGGCTAGGGCGGCACCCCGAGTCCTCTTTTTTGATTGTTGAAATATGGTAACCCTAAGAGAGACGCTGCAGGCCAGGGCCCCGGCAGCCCCTAAAGCCCCTGCGTTCCGGGTAGCCCTGCCTGCCTGGGGGGGGGCAGCTCCCACAATCGCGACCATGGAGGCCGTGCCGCGCTGCGCAGAGCCACCTGCACACCCCCTGCACCAAACAGGAGCTGCCTCAGGTAAGTCCTCTGCACCTCCTCCCACACCTCCACCCTGAGCGCCCCCCCGCATCCTAACTCCCTCCCAGACGCAGCACCCCCAGTCCTGAGCCCCAGGAGGAGACTGGAGAAAAAAAAATGAAAAAGTGGGGGGGGGGGAGATGAGAGACTGCTCCCCCCATAGGGGGGGGCCAAAAATGAAGCTGAGCCACAGGGCCCCACTAACTAAATCTGCCACTGGTGGGAGGGAGAGGAGTGGAGACGCGCCGCGTCTCCGCTCCTCCCCCTCCCTCCCAGAAAGTCCTAAGTGCTGCCAAACAGCTGTGTGGCAGCAGGGAAGCGTTGGGAGGAAGGGGGAGGAGCGGGGACGCAGCATGTTCCGGGGAGGAGGTGGAGTAGGGGTGGGAGGAGGTGGGCCTGGAGTGGAGCGGGGACAGGAAGAGGTGGGCCTGGAGCATCCCCCGGCAAAGTCAGCACCTGTTCTTCTGGGAGGAAGCTGCTGCTGCGCAAGATGCTTCCTAGCGCCCTTGCCTGCCTCATTGTCTGCAGCGGGCTGTGCCTGTGTGGGGTAAGCCAGGGGCACCTCCCCACCACAGTAGAGTACAGTGCTGTACAGTATATAATGCCTTTTGTCTGCCCCCCAGAAAATTCCTTGGAACCTAACCCCCCGCATTTATATTAAATCTTATGGCAAATTGGATTCGTTTAACATCATTTCACTTAAAGTTGCGTTTTTCAGGAACATAACTACAACGTTAAATGAGGAGTTACTGTACCTATATAACTATATCAATATAACTGGTAAAACTCTCTCATGTTGACAAAAGCCTAATTTATACACCCATTTAAGGTTAAGTGAGCATGTAAATTAGATATTTTCAGATGCAAACTGCCCATTAGAAGCATAAACAGCCATTTGCCTATACAAATACCTAATCTGTGCATGCAGTTGCTGCAAGTGTATCTGAAAATTAGGCACAGATCTGAGCGCATCTTTATAAACCAGGTGCTGAATATATAGTTTTGTTGTCATTTATAGCTTAAATACATTTTGCAACAGTAATACCCCAATGGGAAAAAAACAGGTGTCTAATAAGTTTATTTTATATAACAAATACAAAGTGAAAGGGTTAATTAATTATTTACAAGAATTCTATAGAGTTTGCCCTTTGACACCTACTGCATCCAAGATGCAAAATTTCTTCTTCTAAAAATGCTATATTTATCAGATTTTTTTTCCCCAAAACCCAGCATCTTAAAAACATTTTAATTTTAAAATATATGAAATGTGAAAAACTCCTTTGGCGGAGCATAAAAGGTCAGTATTACTACAGTCTAATTCTGCCACCTAGTGACAAATCTTACACTGTAAGGTTTTCTAAATATTGGGAAACATATTATGCGTTACTGAAGAATCTGGAGTCAGTGCAGCATGCCATACAACAGTGCAATGCAAGAGGCTCAAGTTAAGAAGTGACTAGTCTTAAGAAGTTTGATCTCCTGGGGCTTTAGGGGAAGGACAGCATACAACATCAATCCATGGACTGCTTTACAAACAAGATGCTCATCTTACAGATTTTATGTTGGTGTCTGTTTATATACAGACATGAGCAAAAGGGAAGGAGCAGATCCTACAGCCTCTGCCCTCTAACCCTAACATCCCTAATCACTCTTAACATCATCTTAGCTCCTTACTTCTACAGAGGCAAGTTCTGCACTTTGCTAACTAATCATTATTCAAGTTAGGCACAATGTGGAAGGGAAATAAGGGACTCAGTGCTCATTTTGTGGGAGTAGGATATGAAGCCACTTTGGGGTGGGGGGGTGACTAGTGCCCCTCTCTCCCACATTTTGCCTATACAGACCATAACCCATGGAAAGAAAAAAAGAGAGGTCATCCCTAATAATATTAAATATATTCTCATGGGAACTGGCCATCTTCTCCCAGATGACTGTACCACTTTGGAGCTGTCAGCCAGCAGGTTGCATGGTAGGTTTAGTTTTCTTTTCAGCTATCTGTCAGCCAAGCAGAATCCACACACACTATGTGAAATTCTGGCCCCAGTGAAGCCAATGGGAGTTTTGCCATTGACTTCATGGGGGGCCAGGATTTCAACCATGGTCTCTCAACATCACCTAACATACTGACAGCCTTATATAGCAGTTAAGGGGACAGTCACTAATTGTGACCAAGGAAATTGAATGGAAATTAACAGCCATGTAGGTGTTACTCAGTTGCTTCAGGTATGCACCCCTCATGATCAAGCAAGGTGGAGCAGAGTAACAACATATTCTTTTTTTTTAACAACAAAAATAGGTAATACATGGTATTACCTCAAAAACTGTGTTTATATTAAGTAATTTATTTCGAAAGAAATTAGATTTTAAAAATTGAATGAAAAATGTAATAGTTTTCAGAACATAACAAAAACAAGATTGCCACCATAATAAATATTTAGCATTTCTTCATCACTTTTCATCTTCAAAATGCTTTGCAAGCCATAACTTAAGATAAAACTTCATTAACATTGCACCTACGTATAAATGGTACCATAGGTATGTAATTTGGGGTCCTCTTCTTCAATTGACATCTTTAGCCATTGCTCTTGAGGTCCTTTTCTTTGTGCTGTATTTTCCAAATCCCAAGAGAGTTGAATGCTGTGGTGGGTCACCTCACCTACAACTGGAGGATGTGGTTTTGGGATAGTACGTTTTCCTAAAAAATATTTCAAAAGGTTATTTCTATAACATAGAATGTAAAAAGATCTTCATGTGTGTGAAACTGCATTTTAGGTGTTCATTGATTAGTTTTGTTATTCCTATGTTGATTAAGATCTTGTGTACCCAAGAGTACACACTCATGTATTGAGAAGAACACTCTTAAATTTTGCATCCCTTTATCTTGCAAGTAAGATCATATTTTAACTCACCACTTGGCAGGGAAGTAATACATAATTATTGTGCAAAGATTACTTAAAAAAACGATGCTGAGTTGGTGCAGTGGATATATATGTAGTTTGAAGTGTGTACTGAATGAGTTTTAAGTACACTACAATTTGTACATAAAAAGAAACTCAAGACTGAGACATCCAAGATGCCACAAGCTTTGGAACACATTTTAGGAAGCCTATAAATGTTAAAGTTTATCGATAGTGAAGTGTCCCAAGTCACAAACAAAAAAGTCTAGGCTAAGATTTCAGAAGTTACATACAGTTAGTTAACATTATGCTCATTTAAACTAATCAGTGAAAGTCCCCTTATTATATAATTTGTTTCTAGTCCATTTTAAACGTCCTTCACATATATAGTCTAAGGAACATATACTGACTATTTCACATTGTTTATTAAATGTTCAAGGGATGATGTCTCTCATGCTACCTGCAGGTTTCAGAGTAGCAGCTGTGTTAGTCTGTATCCGCAAAAAGAACAGGAGTACTTGTGGCACCTTAGAGACTAACAAATTTATTAGAGCATAAACTTTCATGGGCTACAGCCCACTTCTTCGGATGCATAGAATGGAACATATATTGAGGAGATATATATACACACACAGAGAGCATGAACAGGTGGGAGTTGTCTTGGCTCACAACTGTGAGTGCCTATCTCAAGGCAGACTGTCAGAAAACAGGGTCAACACCCCAAGCTGGTGGTATTTCATCAAACCGGTAACAAATGTGAACTCCTGGGTCACTATACCAGTCTTACCATGGAGTCACAGACTCTCCAGTCTATCTTGCCAAGCAAACTGAACTTTGTGATAAAAGTTTACATAAACCGAAAATCACACCACATCAGGTTGCTCCCAGTCTCAAGAGACCAATCACTTACCTCCGATCTTACACAAAAGACAACACAAGTAGCCAATTCTACAGTAAACTAAATGAAGGTTTATTAGCTAAGAAAAGGAAGTGAGAGTTATTGAGAGGTTAAAGCATGTAGAATATATATAAAGGTGAGTCACAGTTTGTAATTCCAAATAGTGGCAGTGATGTAATAAACTGCCGGTCTCCCAAAAAATATTTCAGGGCTACTCAGAATAATTCTGGGAATCTCTGTCTTCTCGTTCAGTTTCTCTGACCTGTTAGAATACAAACAGTCCAGAGATGCAGGATTTTTCCTCGAATCCATATTTTAATTTTCTTCTGACAGAAAGCAAGCTGACAGTGTCTCTACCCACATGGGCTTTTCATTTGATGACAGTGAGTGAGGAAAACACTTTGAGTCTCTGACCTTCAGTCATTGCACACCATGGCCACCTGCTTTGAAATTAGCCTTTTTTCTGTTAAAGTTCTTCATTTGCATTTCATAAGGCTTCTTTCTTGTCTGATTTATTCAGTTACAGGGATATTTACAATGTAGATGTTTGCTATTACATTATAACATGACACACAAGTAAAATAATACATGTAAGATCCATTAGTTTAAACACCAAATACACTCTTATAAATTTAACAATTACTTTGCTCTATACTAATACACAAGTGAATTGACCTGAATACTCTCTGGCATGACCTGATCTGCTAGCATCACAATGTCAATCATCTCTTCAGCACTATAAGTAAGCAACTGCTGAATAAACCAATACCATTTTGTTCTCAAGTTTTGAGTTTTTCAATTGCGTAAAGAGAGACTAGCTGCAGGGGGGGGGGAGGGAAAGAGGTGGAGGCCTGAGACTATCTTAGCTCTGGTCTACACTGGGGTGGGGGGAGGAAATCGATCTAAGTTACGCAACTTCAGCTACGTAAATAACATAGCTGAAGTCGTCGTACTTAGATCTAATCACTGCGGTGTCTTCACTGTGGTGAGTTGACTGCTGATGCTCCCCCTAGACTCTGCCTGTGCCTCTTGGCCTGGTGGAGTACAGTTGTTGACGGAAGAGCGCTCGGGGGTCGATTTATTGCGTCTAGATAAATCGACCCCCGCTGGATCGACCGCTGCCCGCCGATCTGGCAGATAGTATAGACATACCCTCAGTCATACATCTCAACCTGGCCCAACTGCAGGAAGCGATGTATAGCAAAGAACCAAAAGGTACACAAACATTATTTATGCAGGAAACTTAAAAATTATGTGGGATTCATTCCTTTAGTGTAAATGAATTTATCACCTGTTTCATAATTATTTGGTTTTGATGTAGATAATTTTCAAAAATAAAGATGAGGTAGGGTTACCATATCTAATAAATAAAAAAGAGGACCCTCCACGGGCCCTGGCCCCGCCCATTTCCCCACCCCTAGCCCTGCCCCAACTCCGCCCCTTCCCTGCCCTAACTCCGCCCCATCCTCCCTCCCACTCCCAGCCACGGGGAAAGGGCTGCCCCAGCGCTACCGGCTTCACGGTTTGCCGGGCAGCCCCCA